ACTCAAACGTTTGAACCACAAGGCAGTGGGGTGTAATTTCAACGCGGGAGCGTGACCGAAGCTTTCGTGTGGGAACTTCTGTTACTCCGGGTTTTGATTCAGTGTATTGTTTGCCCGTGCGTTGATTATCGGTCCACTGTTGGGGATTGGTTTTTAGTCTCAATGAGACAAGCGGAACCTAAGGGCGAGATAGCACCTTATTGGCTGGGGGTTGCAAAGCTGGGGTGAGTAGTAGCTGTCCAATAAATTGCGAAGACTTCTTCCACGGTCGGTTGGCCAGTAAACTATCCCTCACCGTGTTAGAGACACTTAGTCATAGGGAAAGTGGGGTGCGTAAACAGTGGCGCTCGTGCATCGTTTCACTTTATTTGCAACCTTGTCTACTGTAATTCTCCACTTTCTTCTCTTCGACTCTGCTTTAAACTTTCCTATCTTTCTTCCAATCCATCGAAATGGGCAGCAATCAAAAGACAGTGACCCCTGTAACCGCCGCACGAAAGTCCGCATGGTTAATGGCTGTACAAACTGGACTGAACTGATCTGTGGGAAGCGAAAAACAGTCAACGAATTTCAATCAACCTTTATTGACCGACTTTCCGCGAATAAACCACAAATAGCTCCCATTGCAACCGCAACTCGACCCCAAAAACTCATGTGCTTCCTTCTCATCCCAATTGACCCAGAATTTACTTTTGTTTCACAACAATACATAATCTTGTATCTCCAAACGACATACAATTACAGACACACACATAATCATGAACTGCATGCAAAAGTTAAAATTCGTTTCGGCATGCGTAGAACTGCATAGGTCAAGCAATGAATTTAACGAAAATCGATTTATTTGTGTTTGTACTTTCAAAGTCACGATAACATGAACAGATACAATAGGAATGTGTAGTTTATATGAATTTCTAAATATTTGTCTAATTGAGAGGACTTAGAGTGAGACTCCGTGTTTCGTTTGCAATGCGCTCTGGGGGACAGGTAAGAGTATTTATCGATCTCCAATAAATCACCAGTGATTAAACAGGAAAAAGGAATAAAATGAACAAGCATCCACCAAATGTAGCGGTCCCATTTTCATTTTTCAGGGGCCGGTGGAAACTTCAAACCAATTGACCGCATAAACCGGATTTTTTGCTCTTTCTTCATGTTTTCTTCATCATCGAAGAGTGAATGGGGGAGGGGGCGAAATCGCGCATGGTTGCATTTGCTTCAATTTCCGACCAATCGAATGACCGACCTCGTTATAAAACGATTACGTGATGCATACGGGGGTCACCCATTCAGTCATGCGTGAAGAGAAACATACTAGATGATTGATCTATCTATCATTGTGCGGGAATGTTCTTTGGTCATTAAATAGTACCGAACACGAACTGGTACGCATGCCAAATAGTCTTGTTTGAAATTGGGCTCTACGTGATGTTACTCTAGACCAACTTGACTACTTCTATTCACTCAAATATGCCTGAAGTATAAAAGCAACCGAAGGTGCTTAGAGAAGTGTGTGGCACGAATCACACTTGTCGTCAGCGACTAATCAATTCTAAGGGGAAACTGCAGATTCCGGCTACGAGAAGTACGACAAAAGATCGGAGACACATATGTGGGTAAAGCGTACATCCGTGAAAAAGCAGTGACAACAGCTGTTGCGCGCTTGGGGATCAATAAACTGAAACATGACCCCTTAAAAAAAGAACAACAAAATGTTACGAGTTAATAGGCAAAGGCCTAGTTAAGGCTTAATAAAATATTATTAGAATTGTTGGGTGCTAGGTTAGGTCTAGGTAAGTTCTGACCGGGATATCAAGTTAATCAAAGAACGGGAAGAAAGGAATAGTTTTTTTAATCCTCGTGGTTGTCAAGATCCCTGATGAGAATAAGAATTTCCCACAACAATTAAGTAACCTGAAGTACTGGCAGTAAGCCGAGACTACCTCGATAGTCTTCTAACTCAAATAGCCAACCTGTACTCTCAAAGAAAATAAGAGAAAGAAATAATACCTAAACGTAACCCAGTGAGGATCGCAGTTTGTCAAAGCATCTCGATGTTTTCAACTGTAAAGAAAGAGTACAATTGTGAAACTCTTTTTATACCACTTCTCTCTCTCTTACATATATATATATATATATCTTAATAGTAAGAAAACTCGCTTGCGCAAGACTCTAGTTTCTCCGAGGGTGGATGGGACTTTGTTCTCGATCCTAGAAATTCTCTCACACAGTGAACAGGTATGTGAGAGATAGCGAAACTTCAATGCAGTGGTCATGTCCGGATGAGGACCGATGGCCACTAGTTCATCCAGTGGAGCTGTAAAATCCTGGTTCTAAATCTCCCAAACGACAGGGCACGAAGCCGTTTCAAAACCACTTACTATTCGTTGGCTTGCTTCAGAAAAGATGCGGCATACTGAAGGCACCTTGGATATATAAAACATGCACAAATTAGGTGAAATCCAATTGAATAGACATCATCCCTTAAAGAGTTGCGGTTTTCAAACCGTTCTACTGTCTTGCAGACAGATCAGTCAGGCTTTAATCAGTCGAATAGTCCAGTTATAAATGCCCAGAAAAATACCATGATTTGTTTTTGGCACCCTGTTAGTTAGCTCTTCGACGAAGAAATGTTGTCACCAAAATGATTCTACCACGGTTTGTTTGACGCAGATAGTTGTTGACAAGTTAAGTCCTAAGGCACATAAGCGATGCAAACATCATAGCCCTTACGCCACCGAACCAAATCGCCCCGCTACCTTGTGTTTTATTTCACTAACCCTGCTGTACTTNTGTACTTTAAACAACTCGAAAGTTTCTATCCAGTTTTCATGAAATGGAAACTGAATACCGGGGAAGCGAGTGACTCAATCCGATTGTTTGGTTGTGTCCATGTATTTCCGAAATCTTACCTCCCATCAACGAGTCCGGTTGAGGCCGGGTCATTCCAATGATTTGTTCCACTAGCAAACTTGTCCGGGGTAGCGAGACACAACCTGGTGGGAGCATAATATCCCGTAATACACCAAAATCACAATCGCTTGGAACGTTTTTGAAACAGGAGCAGTGTACCTGTGGGACAAATAAATGGAGTGAACAGGGTCTTTAGGAACTATGTCACATATGATTGCGTAAATATTTGACCTAGGTATTGGGCTAGCATATATATTTGGCATATGTCACCATGGTAAATGGTTATTCAAAGGAAGATTGGAGTCACACTGTGTCTTTCTTCATCCCGCTCAATCAACCGCGATTCGAATATGGTGAAAAAAATCTTTATTTCTCGAACACCATCGAACAGAAAACTGGTTCAAATTCCAGCTTTTTGGCTTCCAAACCAGTTTTCAGCCCATAAATGGTGTGCAGTGATTACGAATGTGTGATAATTTTTACAATGCATTCGATGGGAGTTTTCAACGTGGCGAGCAAAAGATGACTCCTTTGGGACCAAAATCATCTCTCGAGCAAAAGAAGGGAATCTGTGCAGGAAGATCAACCACGGAAAAAAAAACAAGAACATTGTGGTTTTTTGTTTCACCGTAAGCTTTTTAATATTCTATATGTTTGTTAGTCTTTTTATGAGATAGGGATTTCAACAGGCAGATCGTAGAACATTCGGATCATTGACTCCCATTCTGAGGGATACCCCTCAGGGTCTCGAACTAGGGACAATCCTCATCCCTTAAGATTCAACCTGGAAAACAGGCTGCCCCAACCAAAACATCCAGTGCCGAAGCTAAGTTCCGCATACCCCATACTCCCGAGCCAGGTTCTGGTTTGACCACCTCAATACTTCCTCCAACCTTTCTCAGCACGTGCGACGGGAGCGTGGCAATGTAGACGATGGGTAGGTCTACGTAAGACGTGATCGAGTCACAGGAGGCGATTTCAGTGTTCAGCTCAACAAGTAGTGTGCAACAAATAGTCAGGTTTGAACTGTTTCCAACTGAGTCATAACCTTGAGATGAATAAGGTGTGATGCTTGCAGCAAGATCTCAAAGACGGGTTGTGCTTCACGGTGTATGGACAGAATGAAAAACGATCTGGTCAGCTGCTTAGAGGTCAAGTATGTCTCGTGTCCTAGATGTGAGGTCCCAGGTTTGATCCTCAGTTGGGTCGATGGATTCGCACTGCTGAAGAGATCGAAACATGTAATCTTTTAGTTCACGATTCGTTTGCGTTGCAAACAGCGAAATTCAGCACATAATTGAATAAAATCAGCCGCTATTCTCATATAGTAAAAGATTGACGAGGAACAACTACGGGGTTTTGTACACTGACCATTTTATTGCAAGGGTTTTAAAAAATTTCCCGGAAGAAAGTGGTGGTGAGACAAAAGGTGAAAGCAAGAAGATAATCAAATCGTCCGCATTAATTGCATTTTCCCATGAGTACCATTAGTTGTTAATTATTTTTTTATAATCTCCTTTTTTATCCACATCTTTCGACATGAAATTTTCGTGGTAAAGTTGTCATCATGTCTATGGTGAAAAATAAATATATATTAGATAAACATAATCAAATCCGTGTAACACAAATTCGAAACGAACAACCGATTAGAACGAGAGCAGCTATGTGGTTTCAAGCGCTAAAGAAACCGTATGAGGACAGTTCATCACCATTCTAGGCGCGACCTCCGAAAGCCTCAGTATAGTCGCGGGGATGGATGTCTCGAGTTGCGGCTGGTCACCCTCCCCTTGCACCTCGCGAAATGCTCCCATACGACTAAGCGCCTCAAATAGTCAATTATACTAAGGAAGCCCTACTCACTACTTTCACATGGGGTGGAGGTGTTTTCCCACACCAAAGTGAGAGAACGAAAAGCCGATATTCGGGGCTATAACTGGGTTGGTGGACTACTGGTAGTTCACCTAGCGGAGTTGGCCAAAATCCCTGATTCCAAACCAACCAAGTGGAGACGTACGAACCACACACACGTTGTCCGTTGTGGCGGTGTCCACCACTGCAAACAGAAGAAGGTTGCCGCACTTTTATTG